CCACCGGTGGCTGATGGCCACGTGGTCCAACTGGGTCCACGGTTGATTTGTAGTTGGTGGTCGCCAGGTAACGCGGTGCGAACGTTTATGTTGAAAGTTCGTACTTTCCAGAAACAGTTCGTGATCAGCACACAGCTGAAGGAGTCGATCTCCGTTGTCTGTGCGGCGAGCATCGACTCCGAAACGACCACCCAAATGTGATTCCGAGGAGCTCAGTTCAGTTCAAAAGGTGTCTTAAGGCCAGACCCTGAACGCATGGAACCTATCCGTCAATCATCTCCTCCGCGTCATACCACGGAAATGCAACGCGTCACTAGTGGGTTTGCATATTTCATCCATTGGATATCTTCTGATAAGGATTAAATCCCCCCCTACTTGCTGACGTCGAATTAGTCTTCGACTACCTAAAAACCGAACTAGAAAATGCTACACTAATTACAGTAGATTGTAACGAGCCTTTGGTTGTTGAAACAGATCTCCGATGTGGCTATTGCCGCATCCCTCAGTCAGAACCAATGACTGGTGACCTTTTTCTCGATGACACTCAATTCAAATGAGAAGAATCTTCCACGATCGAGAAGGAGGCCTACGCTGTCGTTGAGTCCAATAAGAAATGGTAGCACTATCTACTCACTAGGCTCTTCAAACTGATCACCGATCAGCATTCAGTCATATTCATGTATGTGGTAAAGTTAAAAACTAGAAAATCCAACGCCGGAGGATTGAGTTGTCCGAGTACAATTATGCTGTACTGTACCGACCTGGTATGGACAATCATATCACCGACACTGTCAAACAACATGTGTGCCTCCATGGGGAGCGACAATGAACTCGAAGAGCCCATAACTCCATCTGCCATCCAGCCATTACCCGTATGCTTCATTTTATGTCTTGCAAGAATCTCCCCTACTCCGTCGACGATATCAAGCGCGTTATTTCTTCCTGAAAAGTGACTACCGAACTGAAACCAAGATTCTGGAAATCCTCTGGTGGACTCATTGAAGCCACGTAACCTTTTGAGCGCCTGAGTTTGGATTTTAAAGGCCCCCTTGCCACCCTATACACGCAACCGCTATTTATGATAAATGACGACTTCTCCAGGTTCCTATTCAACCTGCGTATGCGGATATAACCTCAGCAGCTGTGGTTGACTGTCTCACACAAATCTTCTGTTCGGAATTTCAGCCTATATCCATTCCGACAGGCTCATGTCGTCTAAGAGCAATAACCTTCTGGAGAAAGATATTGCTATGAGTCGTACATCCATAGTGCAACAGTCAGGTTGAGCCTCTGAACCCTCTGGAAAACAGTAAGCTTGGCTTCGAAATCTCACATTTTCCAGCCTTCCAATCGGGAATCGGTACTCCTTGATGCTCTACGCAGCCTCCGAGCACTGTTCTATACTACCGTCAACTATACTCCACACGAACGGTTGTTTCGATACGCGCATCGCTCAACATTTGAAATATCGTTGCCATCTTGGTTGACCACCCTTGGTCCGGTCCTGCTGAAACCAGGTGATAGGTCATCCAATCATCGACCGCTAGTAAAACTCGACCTTCTGAACTGCAAACCACACTATGCACACATTGCTCATGGAGACAAAAGAGTCGAAACCGTGTCGCTTCGCTCTCTAGCCTTAGGGGTTCAGAATACAACTGACGATGTTCTCAATCTATCTGAATCCAATGGAGACACCGAACATCCAGATATGCTGAAACAACCGGCCGTCAGCCCTATATCTCTCAAGCGTCTGGACCCTCTTCGGTACCGTCCCCCGAAAACCAACAGAGTTATCCTTAAATGCTAGAACAACAGCGACGAGTTCATCTTCACAATCTGAGGAACAGAGAAGCATGACCCAGTACATCATCCCCATCTACATCGGCACATGAGTCCATTCAAACAATGCCGGGGTGAATGTCATGATTTTTGTGTGCTTATCATTATACTTACACCATGTACTCGTATTGAACCTTTGTACATATATTTCAGTTTATCCACGCTTGTTTTTAGACAAGTAAAAAGTTTTCTACCTTTGATAACCCGGACTCTGTTCTAACTCGTTCTCGGACACATTGTAAACGTCTCACCCACTCATTCAGTGACCTTGCATGGTCACACCGTCCGAATTCCTGGAATGAGTTGCCATCTCGGATCGGTGGTGAGGAGAGTTCTGAAGGTCGCCCGCTATTTGAGCGGCCCTGTCAGCATTCAGAAAATTGTCCTCTTTGGAGGCTCTTTTAACGCATCTTTTGGATCTACTCTACTGGGAAACCTCAATTGCCGGAAGTTTCATTTGAATTACCACTTTCGGGCCCTGCTCCTCCGTTTACTGAGTCCATCACCGAAGGCGATATCGTCTGGAAAAGGCCTTCGGCGATCACATGAGCCTAGTAGAAGTGGTCGCCGAAATAGAAACGCCCTTTCTGCCGAGATCATAAAAACTTTTAGCAGACGACGGTGTCGCAGGTCAAGTTCTCAAAGTGGAAGGGGATATTGCCGCCGCTGCTGCTGCATCTTCTGCCTTGGGATTCTTGAGCCTTCTCATTCACCGCTCCACCGAAGGTCGCCTTCTTGCGTTCAGTCGATCCTATGCTGTGGTATAGGGGAAGGTTGCTCGCGGCGACAAGGGCCTTCTCCTTTTTCTAAGCTTCCGTTGTCCACCCAGACTGTCTTCCTTTTAGGGTCTTTAGTGTTTAGCATTTGCGTGCACCATCCTACTCTTTGCCTGCTGGCATGGATTTTTCAATGTTCCCATTAGACTCGAACAATGCTCCGAAGACACCGATGGTCTAGAACTATAAGTTTTAGCGTCTTCAGCGAGCAGCAGCCAGGTTTTAGACCCGTATAGTAATGTGGCACACAGCGGAGCATGGTAACCTCGACCCCTGATAGATAAGTTCTTGTCCTGTGTACGTCACAGGTGATGCAGTATGGTCCGGCATCCTCAAACAGGTCACTCCGCAGAATCAGAGGCTGAAAAGGAGATCACGAAGTTTAACTGGGATAAAGAAGTGGACTAGGATAGCCTACATCAAAGATGAGGTTGACGTGTTATTGCAAGGATAGACGTTCCTGTTCTCCAAGACCTGGTGTGGTGAATAAGGCCCCCTCATCCTGTGTTGAGTCGGTTGTCGTTCCGATATTTAGCTCCACCGAAATTCTTGAACTCGATGATTTTTCGCGTTACGGAGGAGCAAATGGTGAGAGACAGGGTTATCCATTCTGGATGCTGGTCACCGTAGATTTGGCTTTCTTCCAGAGGTACAAAGTATGGATCTGAAGTTTTCAGATGACAAAATACGATTGAAGATGGTAGTCTTTCTTGGCCTAAGAACCTTTTTCGATTATGTTAACCGTCGGGTACTGCGACTCTGCCGAGCAAAGTTGTCCCCAGTAATTCATGAACTCCTTAAAATCACCTTTCGCTAACTCTTGCGGACGCACATGGGTGTACGATAAGTTCCCTTCTGCGGTCACCACATGCAGTTGTCAGGCAATGCTGTCCTCTTTTCCTCTTCTATTTACGTTTATGATCGAAGTGATCACGGAACGCTTTCTTGCAGCCACTGACATACGTGGGGTTAAAGCGGTCCCATAACTTCTTGTCACAGATATAGGATGGGCGAATGAAACTGCCCACCTGAGATTGTCTCGAAACGTAAGTCACATTAAAGAGTGTGAATAATTCTGCTCCACGCTCTCAGAGAGTGTAAAGTGCTGCTGCAAGAATAGGTGGGGCAAACTCGAACCTAATGCTTGCAAATGAGCGGATTAATATAGGCAGCCGCGTACATCCCGGTGAAAGGCGAACCAGAAAGACCAGCGAGGTTTTCACTAACCGACATCCGTGTCACCGTCGCCAGCTTGCCTGTTACTGATAGGATTTGCGGGGTTGTACGCTCAGAAAATGTCCAGTAAGTACCAAATGCACAAAAAAACTCAGTATTTGACCACTGGGGTCATCAAAAGTATACCTCGGATCAGCAATGCTGAGGTTTTTAGAAAGCGTGCCAGTCACAATCCTTGGTCTGCACTGGTTAAGATACGTATTTATGCATGAGAGGACCTTCTAATTCACAGAGCTCCCTTTACCTTATCCCATGTTGAGTTGAGACGGTCCGAAGATGGTCAGTGAATGGCTCAGAAGCTAATTTTGAGTTCCAACCACTACACTTATTACATGTAGGGGTTCACGAACGAGTAGCGTTAGTGATAGACGTCACTGACGTACGCAGCCGGTTGAGCGTGTGATTTTCACCTGTCGCCCTAAACACGTAGTCGTCCCCATTCTTCTGAGTAAAGTGGACCGACGTAACTTCATTCAGCTTAATCGTCCAATGCACGTCTGCCTTTTCGTCACTTTTTATTCCCAGTTAGCGCAACTACTGTATCTTGAACCAACGGGTAGCAGACTAAACGATATTCGCAAAATCTCTGAAGAAGTGACACCTCACGGTTGGGAACATTTTCATTCCCTTCCTTGGGCGTCCGTTATTGAGGGGGTATTCCCACAGTTACTTTACAGCACATTCTGGTGCTAATCCACAGTTCGAATGCCAACTATTATACTCACCATGGGTTTAAGTGCTCTAAACGCTGTGTGTAGAACTGTCCTTTTTGGGATGTCTGCTTGCTAAAAATGTTCGAGGAAATTTTGCCACTTTCACTTGGTACCCGGTAGCCATCCGAGGCGGAATACACACTCACCCAGTTGCATACACCTGCGACAATTAAGCATGGTCCTTCCTAGTCCTGATAGAGACAGAATTACAAGCTTAACGGAATACGACAATTGTGTTGTTTATCCTGAAATTTTCCATACTACCGAATGCACGGACTGTTTTTTTCCATTTCAGCCTTTCGGCATTTTTAGTGGATTCGGGTTATTGGCCTAACGTAATGGCAGCCGAATCCATAAAGAAAGAAGTATGTTTTCATTTTGGTGGACAATTATTCCCTTACTGTTACAGCTGTCTGGGATATTTGAACGATTAAACACGCTTTCTCCCTCCGAGAAAAACAGTCTTCTCGTTTTCTTCAAATGTTTCTTACCACCGAATTTTTCCGATGGAGAAACTTCCGATCAGCAATTAACCCAGTCTTCCGAAGAGACTGGATCCAAGGAAGAGGTTATTCCTGCGTCATCTCAGGGAATCCTTCCAAATCCTTCGGGTAACACATTGTCTTTAGTGGACAACAGTGCGAATTACGCACCAGATATGTACAGCTTCCACTGTCCAGCCCAAACACTGGATAAGAGCGTCAACGTTCCAGAGGAGGGCGTTCAAACGAATAAATCAACGGATGTCTCAGTAAGTTGTGACTTTGATCTTAGAATCTTAGGATCCTCCTTAAGGAGACTGAGGAAACTGCTCTCTACGAACGGTATGATTTATCCTACTTGTAACGTCACATTTTACTTCTTAAAGACTGACAATTAGCGATGGTGAAATCATGATGACATCGGACAATAAGAGTGCCTTTTATCAAATCTTTGGCTCTGTTTTTCACGACTCGAAACATAACCATAAACTAGCCTGTGAAATGGCAAGTACTAATTATATCCACGAGAACTCCTCACATTGTTTCTCCGTAGCTATTTTTCTATTGTGTTCGGTGTGCAGCATGCTTTCCGGCAACATAGTGGTTGCTTTGGCAAAATCATCCTCAGGCAATTTCAGTTACCTATTCCGTACAGTAGAAATGTCATAATACAATGGCCAGAGGTTGTCGCTTTTGTCTGATCGTAGCCGGCGTATGGTCAGACACTAGTATGTGTGTAACCTGGTTGGAGAAATCCGGACCCACTTGACCAACCGTCGCGCTGTCGGTTCGGCTTGCCAGATATTGTCCCAGTTTGGTTAGGGTAGTCCGAGCTTATGGGAGAATAGTATTGTGTTTGCAACCAACCGGATTGTGCGACTGATTTGCGATGAATTCAGCTGTAGTCAAGAGTTTTAGCAAGGGACTTTTATATGCTGGCGTGGCTCATAATAGCTTCTTGGAAAGCTGAAAATCCTGTTTGTTTCGACTTAGTAATCAACTGCGGCGCTTCCGATCTTGTTGTGCTGACCCTGACCCTACTTCGAAATTGGGGAGCTGTAGTGTTCATAGGCAGTCGTGCTTACATGGAGGCCTGGGACAACGTGCCTGGGGGTATATGTACACTAGAGTGCCCAATATTTGACTGAAACCCGATACGAATCTGCCCGCCAACGGCTGTTGTACCACTAGGCGCTGCGCGTGTCGTTGAGAAACCAAAGGAGTATGAGCAGGTAAGCAACTCGTAGAGGCATGTTGACAAACATCAACCAGCTTAGACATGACCGAATCGCACTTGCATTTGCACCATATAAAACAGTGAGGTACTGGTGTCATTCGTCAATTCTTTTCAATGCAAGTATACTGCCCTGTTCAACCCACACAGCATTATCAAATTACCTCCACTGGTAACTACCTATTTCGGTTTTCTTGGTTGAGCAGGCGGTACGGGTCCGATTTCGCCCATGCAAATGCACCCACAGGCTTACCGGTCTTCTTACCTTCCAAGTGAGTCGCTTCGCCACCAAGAGACTGGATCTTGCCGTGGCGTGACGGTTTATATGCCTCTACGAGCGATACTGGGTGTGTCAGTGAGACACTCGCAGTCTCTTACCAACAGAGTCCCACGGTCCTCTATTTTGAGAGTTGGAGCACGTATGGTGACGTGTCCCACAATGTGCCTGCATTTCCCGCCATTGCCTTGCGGTTAGGCTTTTGAGTCAAAGAACCCTAATTGTCTTCTTGTCCAGGTGTGGGCGCCCTGACGTATCTCAGTCCACGTACAAACATGAATTGCACACTTACAAATAATCTTATGACATAGTCTGTCGTGTGGTGCCATTAGTCGGGTTTCCTTATTTACTGTATACAGCAGGGCGAGTAAGCGAAAACATGCCACTGCAGACGCATCCCTTCTTTCTTCTCGACGCACTTTTTTCCACCTCCCTCCACCCTATTAGTAATTCTCCACTTGTAGGCCCACTAGGTAGGACTGATGACTCCGTTCGTCCTACATCGGTTTTGGTAGCAACATCTGCGCTTGCTAATAGATCGCTAACAGATGTAGAAACACGTTACTTATCGGAATATGTCACAACTGAATGCGTGACCTTTCTCCAGGTGTCTATATGGCGCCAGATTTCCCCGTGATAGATAATGGAAATTTATGTTTCCAATACTCACCTCACCTCTGTTTCGATATCGTAGCTTCAGTTCTCCTCGGCGTCAAATATCCTTCTTCAGTTGTCATTATTGTAGTTGTTGATCCACGCTCTAGGTGGTTATGAATCAAGATGCTCTCGATCCCGTATATTTTTCTGCGTCATGTGAAGAACTCGACCATTCGGTATCCTGTCTAACCCGTGTATGTGCAAACTGCTCCACAGATACTGCAAATGAATTCAACCGAAAATTCGTGTATGACACGGACACACCACGTGAAAGTGTAGACAAAATAGTAGCACTGTACATCGTGTTTTTTGTGTCCACCCGCGGAAACGTTCTTGGATTTTCAAAAATACCGACATTATCGCTGATATTCACTAGCCAATTCCCTTGTCGACCATTTGGTCGCTAGTCAGAGTAGCAGAAGTCTGTTACACAACCATTCGTTCATTTATTCGACAAATTTTGGTGCTCGCAGGAAGAAGAGATCAGTAGGAGACGGAAGTTTTAGAAAAAAATGAAATGACCAAGATAAATGAACAAATAAAAAAGTAGAGAATGTAAAAAATGAGAAATAAAAAACAAAACAGAAATACAAATAATCGATATGCAATAAAAAACATAAATAAATAGGAGGAATATTGAGGTGACGTACGCAAACATTGCCATCAGGAGCTGCATTATGCTTCAGATTGTACTTCAGAATTGTCAGCAAAAAAACGACGTAAGTCCTCGGAGTCACTTCTCCAGAAGGCCTTTTAAATGGAATAATCGACCGCCCAGACTACACTCAACAGACAAAACGTATGGGCTAAAAAACTCCTCTGAGCATATTGCAGGTAGATACAAGCTGAATATCTTGTTTCACCCATGTGTCAATGTTCGAATCTTTAGTTGTAGTCTCACAAGTTCGGATATTGGCTTTTATTCAGGGACAACAACGTTTGTCAAGGTTGACGGGCTTGTTTGTTTGTTCGTCTTTCCAATATCAATCCACAGTGCCTCTCTGTTCGGCAATACGAGGGTTTTTGTGAAGCACTTCTATATTTGTTTCACGAAGAAGGTTAAGTAATTGGTGTTCTGTCCGACACGGGATCCACACTGTTCCTCCGAAACAATGTATCCAGAATGTCGGCGTACAGCTGATTCACCACAATTTCCTGAGTGCTACAATGGTGGCTGCGCTGATGTAGTGGTTCGGTACGTGCGTCCTAATGGCCTAGTCACCCGCGACCGAGGGTTCGGTTTCCGGAGTGCATTATATATATATATATATATATATATATATATATATATATATATACTGTC